GTTTTTAATCAAGTTTATGGTATTATTTTAAATGTATTAATAATTTATCATTAAAATTAACTCTTTTACGTTTTGTTTATATTAATATTTTTGTCTTATTTAACATATATAACATTTTTTATGTTGATGTAAATTTCATTATTTACTTTTATGTTATTTTCTTAAACTATATATATTTTCACTAAAAAAAATATTATGAAGGATTTTCACTTGTTTAGGAAGGTCTTCCTAAACACCTTCCTAAACAAGTAGGAAACTTTCTTAAAAATAAGTTTATGAATGATTTTCATTTGTTTAGGAAGACCTTCCTAAACACCTTTTTAAACAAGTAGGAAACCTTTTTGAAAAAACTATAGGAAGGATTTTACTTGTTGAGGAAGGTCTTACTAAACAAGTAAAAAACCTTTTTAAAAATAAGTTTATGAATGATTTTCACTTGTTTAGGAAGACCTTCCTAAACAAGTAAGAAACCTTCTTAAACAAATTTTAGGAAAGATTTTCACTTGTTTAGGAAGGCCTTCTTAAACACCTTCCTAAACAAGTAAGAAATCTTCATAGAAATAAGTTTAGGAAGGATCTTCACTTGTTTAGGATGGCTTCCTAAACACATTACTAAACAAGTAGGAAATCTTCCTAAAAAAAGTTTAGTAAGGATTTTCACTTGTTTATGATGGTCTTACTAAACAAGTAGGAAGCCTTCGTAAGAATAAGTTTAGGAAGAATTTTCACTTGTTTAAGAAGACCTTTCTAAACACCTTCCTAAAAAATTAGGAAACCTTGTTAAAAATAAATTTCATCTTATTATCTAATATTTAGTAAAATAATATATATTCTTTCTCTTTAAATCAACAACCTCTTAACAATCATTTGACACCAATATTATTTAATTTTTTTTATGTCTTTTATATTTTGATTCATTTGTTATTATATGTATATTCATTTTACATATTTTCAACTTCTGAAATTAAATATATAAAATTTTATCTTTATCCTAAGCTCATAATCAAATGTATTTATTGATTTAATTTTAAATATTCAAATAGTTTTATATGTACTACTTTTAGTTATTTGTTGACTTATTTTTGTTTTATTTAATTAGAAATTTTAGAAGTTATAAGTGACAATAAATATACATAAACATGTATTAAATGTGGCAAAAAAAACATGT